GGGCAGGGGGCACTGGGGAGGGCGAGGAGAGGGCCTGGGGGGTGGGGGCTGTCACAGGTGACAGGATCTAGGGCAGCCCGTGTGGCCTGTGCTGGCCAGAGAGCCCCATCGCAGGGCGAGGAGGGAGCTCGGCCCAGATGAGGGCCGGGGGGCAAGTGAGGGGCCTGCCCTGGTGGAGAGAAGGCCCTTGGGGTGGGAGCGGGTCGAGGGGGGCTGTCCGGGCTGAGGGCACTGAAGGAGGGCAGGAGTGGGGCGAGCGGGTCCGGGGGAGCCGAGGGCCTTGTCCAGCCCTGCTGCTCCTGCGCACCACGGGAGGTGTCTGCCCGCAGGATGCCATGGGCCCCCACTAGGTCACTGGCCACAGACCCATGGAGGGGACGTTTAGGGACTGCTCTGCCTGCTGAAGGGGATCAGCTCCCGGGCTGGGGAACCGGTCCCAGCACGAAGACACAGTAACATGTCCCGGCACCGCTGGAGCTGTCGCCATCGCCTGCGATGAACTTTCGAGCGAGGCTCTTTGTTAGCTGTGGAGTCAGGATGCTGCCCCAGCCCTGGCGAGTCTTCTCTCGGGCCGCAGAGGACGTGACGCTGCAAAGGATCCGCAAGGTCTTGTGCGTGGCCGAGAAGAACGATGCTGCCAAAGGAATCGCGGATCTTCTCTCCAACAGCAGAATGCGACGGGTAGGAACAAATCCATTGCTCGGCTCCCTGTTGCTTCCTGGTACTCCTGCAGATCCAGCTGGACTGTCTGGGCACGGTCAGCTCATCAGAGTGTAGGTTTAGCTGCCATGCAGCTCTGGCCCGATCTCAGGTCTTACATGCAGCCCTGGCCTGCTCTGCAAACTTGACCTGGGCATTTCAAACAGTGCATTCAGTGCTGCCTCACTTGCCCAACTATATTCTAGAAGTGTTGGAGTCCCTCTTTTGTCACTGAATTCCTGTTAGGAGTTTAGCTCTCCAGTGTCCTTCTCTGCCTGCTCTAGACATTGAGCTCATCTGTGGGGGCTGCTTGTGTTTTTCCTGGCTTTACAGTCTGTGTAAAAGACATTAGGAACTGAAACCACCTGCTGACATGCATTTTCTAGTCAAAAACACTACTTCTGCAGTGTCAGCAAGTGTCGAGGGTTATGGGAGTTCACATAATAAGGCAGAGATGGTCTGTGGTCTGGGGAAGAGTTCAAACATCTTGTCTCTCTGCTGCTGCTTTGTTTTGTGACCACTGACAGTTTGCATAATTACTTGGTATTTCAGTTTACCTTATACCTAATGCCTTTGGATAGGGTGCTTAGAAGAGCTAATGTTTCTAGGTCGTGTTTGGGATAGAACTGTGTGGTGTTACTGAGAACCTGAGTACTGATAGCTCAGTCAGTGAATATGTTGGCACACTTCCATGGAAGAAAATGCAAATATTTCTGTCTAGAAACTTTCACAGATCTCCATCAGGTCACAGGTCATCTTGGGAACCCTGTGCTGACACCCTAGATGTGCTATGGAGCAGGACACAAAATTGTTGGGAATAAGGAATGTTTGTGAATGGCAACTCCATGAAAACAAATCACTGTGTTTCCTTCTGTCTGTCTGTCTGTCTGCACCATCCATGGAGTGATGACCTGGGGCTTGTGTTGCAATCCAGTTACAATGGGAAGTGCCATTTCCCTGTCTCTGCAAATGATATGGGCAGCTTTCACCTTATCTTGCCTCTGCATTTCAGCTGCAACATCCAGGTTTCTCTGCCCCGTATATCTGGTTTTCCTGTCATTACAGTGTGTGTGAACTGAGATGAGATGTGTTTGCTTTCTGCTGGCAGCCTGAAACTTAGCTACTTCCATTTTTTCTTCTAGAGAGAAGGTTTTTCCAAGTTCAACAAGATCTACGAGTATGACTACCAGATGTTTGGCCAGGTAGAGGTTTCTTTCCTACCTCTTCTCGTTTAGGGAAGTGCAAAGTACTCCTGTTCAAAAGCCATTTATCAGAATTTATGAAATGCCTATCCAGGGATGAGGACAATTGCCCAGAGAAGATGTACAAAGGAATCGAATGTTCTTTTGGATCAACCAGTGACCTGTTGTGTTGCCTTAAGTCTTTCAACCTCCCATTCTTCTATTTCCCATCTGTCAAAGGACATTTGATTATTTAGAATTGGAAGCTTCCTACACAGATTTAAAGAGATGGGTTGAAATGACAATAGCATGAGGGAGCTGTCACTATGTTGTGTGAATTGAGAACTGCCTCAAGGCTCTGGGTTCTGGGTAGTTTTTAGCAAATGATAGACACTAATTACCCTGCTCTGTCTTTTGTAGAATGTTACTATGGTGATGACATCCGTGTCAGGACATTTACTGGCTCATGATTTTAAGCTGCCTTTTCGCAAATGGTTAGTACTCAGCGCCCTGCCACGGGAGGAAGGGGGACAACAGCTTTGTCAATGACAATAGACAGCACCTCAGGTCCAGCAGTAAAGTCCTGCAGCAGGAAGGGGCTGTGACCCTGTGCACTTCAAGTAGCGACAGGATGATAACCATTAAATTCCAGACAGGATAATTAAAATATTGTACCAAATGACTATTTTCAGAGTGTTTAAAAGAAAACAAACCCAAGTTAAAACAATTACTAAAATACTCTAAGGGAGCTCCCTGTAAATATACCAACTCCAACAGCTGATTAACATTTTTGTGTTCTGTTCAACTGACAGACAAAACTGTCTTGGGAAGCAAGAGTTTTTATCTGACTTGCCTCGGTTTTGTTTTCTTTACTTGAAATGCGAGAAGTTTGTTGTTTGGGCTTGCCTCCTGATTCTTTTTTTCCTGTGGTAACATTTTGTCTGTTGCTTTTCAGTAAGTGTAACTCAGTGTTTTACATGAGCTTGAAAGTTGCCTAGGACAAAGTCCATAGTGTTAGATGTATTTACCCTTCCAGTACCTGAGCAGCACTTCCTTATAGGAGAGTGCCAGTTAGTCTCTTGCAACATACGTTTTAGTTTTAGTTTATGTATACTGCATATCTTCTGTTTACCAGGCATAGCTGCAACCCCCTAGCACTTTTTGATGCTGAAATTGAGAAGTATTGTCCTGAAAATTACGTGGATATTAAGGTATGTGTTTGTAAGAGTTTTTAAGAAACTCTGAGTTCAGAGATTGCTTCTGCAAATATTGTGTCAGACAGAGGCAGGATCATAACATGGTCCTTTACCTTCTAAGCCTCTAGGATTTAGAAAATTCCTCCTGTGTTTTATAGGACTTTATAAGCTCTTCATCTGTGACATTGAAAGTCTCCTGCTCGTGCATAATTAGTGCAGTAAAGGCATAATTACTTTGATAATTTTTTTTTGTTTGTTTGTTTCTAATTGGTAGTTGTCTTGATTTTTACAGAAAAGGGTGCTTCCAGAGAACAAATTCTGTGGTACAATCTGATTCGAGTCATGGTTTTAAACAGAGATAGATGTAAATAAATGACTCAGTCCTTTTGAAAGCTGCCTAATCTCATGAGAGACGGGATTACAAAATGTTATTGCAACAATCTATCTCTATGGGTACATGTTGTATTTTATGTTCTGCTAGTGAGTCATTTTAAGATGAGATGACAAAGGAAGGGGTCTGTCATGTCTCATTCTGTGCTGTTTTCTCCCCTCAGAGGACCCTCGAACGAGAAGTCCAGCAATGCCAAGCTCTGGTGATCTGGACTGACTGTGATCGGGAAGGAGAGAATATTGGTTTTGAAATCATTCATGTCTGCAAAGCTGGTGTGTAGACTGCCTTCTGTATCAATCTGATCTCCATTAAAATGCTGATTTAACAGGGAGCTGCTCAGAAGGCTAATAACAGAGACATCTTCTCCATGTCCAGGTTAAATACGTTAATTGTAGAATGGGGTACACTAGAAATACATTCATATAGGACAGTTATGTAATAGGTCAAAAACATACTCTTTAAGACAGCTGCTTATTAATAACTCCTTTCCATTATCGTTTGAGTCTCTTCCTGATTTCCCTTTTTGTCCCCCAGTAAAGCCAAGCCTCCGGGTTTTCCGAGCTCGTTTCTCCGAGATCACGCTTCACGCTGTCCGATCAGCCTGTGAGAATCTCACCCAGCCAGATCAAAAAACGAGCGACGCTGTTGATGTGAGGCAGGAGCTGGACCTCAGGATAGGTATGTAGACACATCTTGAAGGTCTAAGGGGTTGCTAGGCCTGAGCTGCTGCGTGCTCAGTGAGCAAAAGTGCGGTAGGCAGCCAGCACCAGCCTTACCAGTGTGCACTTCATTATCTTTAAATACCTGCCCTGGCTTGGACTGCTGTGTAAACTACATAGCTGGTCATTATGGTCTTCCTGGCTTCTCATTCAGCTGCATGGAATTCACATTTTTAATGCGCAGCAGTATCTGCAACTGTATCCCCAATGCAAGACAGAAATGTCTAAACACCGGTACTGTAAATCTGGTCTTTTTTTTTTTTTTTTGATTATCTCAGAAACAGCTATTTCACATCTCCTCTTTTGCTGGAAACAACACACTCCATGAAGCAAATGTTAAACTTATAGTTCATGCATAGCTGATTGGCTTCTGCAATTTTGGTTTCAGAGTGTGACTCTGTTCTATTTTTTTAATATTCAATTCTAACATCCATTTTTTTTCCTCAGGTGCTGCCTTCACTAGATTCCAGACACTGAGGCTCCGGAAAATTTTTCCTGATGTTCTAGCAGATCAGCTGATCAGCTATGGTAGCTGCCAGTTCCCAACACTAGGGTTTGTAGTTGAACGCTTTAAAGCCATCCAGGCCTTTGTTCCTGAAGCTTTCTACAAAATCAAAGGTATGTCGAGAGGAAACAAGTGCTCAGCTCCATCTTGCAGTTTTTAGTGCATTTGCAAAGAAAATGAAACCTAATATTTAGTATAAAATATGAATTGGAGGAAAAGCATCAGGGCCATGAACAAACACTGTAGCAGAGAGGATTTCCTCTTCTTTTGCCATGATAATTCAGCAGAGTTGGAAAGGTTCCCCAAAAGTATGGCTTCATTACTTCTACTGTCTTTGAATTATGTTTTTACTGTATGATCTATATAAAAGAGATCACTCTGATCTGTTTTCAATGCAGTGACACACGAACATGAGGACAACACTGTGGTCTTCAACTGGAAGAGGAATCGTCTCTTTAATCACACAGCTTGCCTGGTCCTTTACCACATGTGTATGGAGGTAGGAAAGTTTGTAAATAGTACAAAGCAGCATCAACAAAACATTTCCACCATCTTTTTTTACTTCAGTTCTTTAAAGAGCAGCCCTTTTACAACTCTTCAAGGAGATTTTATATTTTGCTTACTCTGTGTTTAGAATCCTGTAGCAACTGTTGCTGAGGTTATAAGCAAGCCTAAGAGCAAATGGAGACCTCTGCCTCTGGACACTGTGGTATGTTTGATACAAGAATGCTAAAAAGAACTATCTGAAATGAGCTTTCAGTGTGTATTTTACTCACCTTAGAATTATGCCACAAATGCCTTTCTTCTGACTCTTCTCAACACAGGAACTTGAGAAGTTGGCTTCCCGTAAACTGAAAATAAATGCAAAAGAAACCATGAGACTAGCAGAAAAACTCTACACTCAAGGGTAAGAAACAAAGATTTGGGTGTGCTGGCCTGATAAAATCAATTCCCTAAAAAAATAAAGGGCCTTTCAATCCAAAATGGAAAGTGCCTTGGAGCTCTTCCTAAAGTCCTCCTTTGCCTTCCTTTTGCAGGTTCATAAGCTATCCCCGAACGGAGACCAACATTTTCCCCAAGGAGCTCAACCTCTCTGTCTTGGTACAACAGCAGACACAGGACCCAAACTGGGGAGCATTTGCACAGAGGATTTTGGAACAGGGTGGGCCAACCCCTCGAAGTGGAACCAAATCAGACCAGGCTCACCCTCCCATTCATCCTACAAAATACGCTGCTAACCTGCAGGTGAGTTTAATAAAGGCAGAGATAACTTGATAGCTTGTATTGCTTGATGTATAAAGGTCAGACTCTTAAATATGGTCATTAGAATAGTATCCTAGACCTGCCATCTCGCTATTATCTCTTGATGTCTCATTAATCCTGGAAGAGGCTCTTAACCCTCTTCTACTGTTTGATATTAGGGGAATGAGCAGAGACTGTACGAATTCATCGTGCGCCACTTTTTGGCTTGCTGCTCTCAAGATGCTAAAGGACAGGAAACAACTGTGGAGATTGACATCGCTAACGAGCAATTCATGGCTCAAGGACTAATGATCTTGGCCCGAAACTATCTGGAAGTGTATCCTTATGAGAAGTGGAGTGATAAGGTAAACCCTTGGATATCGCAGATGGGAGAGGTTAAAGTACTTGGAGTTAAAATTTGCCCTTGGCTGTACTAATGGCAAAGCCTTATTGCCAAATCTGGATCCCTCTGCACAATATCCTTTGACAATTCCTGGCCCCACTAGCTTTCATTCAGAGTGATCTCTGTTGAAAACCTGTGCTGCATATTTAGCAGTTTTGTATAGTCTGCCCCTTCTGACACAACAGCAGAGCTGCTTCCGTGCAGGTTGATCTGACTTACCAAGAGGAGCTGTAATTGCTCTTCCAGCAGCTCGTTAATGACTAATCTTGAGGATCCTAAGGGCTGCATTTCCTGCAGAACAGGGTGCTTCTGCATTACTATATGGGCTTGCTGTTAGTGTTAGTATTATAATAGTTAGTGCTGTTGAGCTATAGTACAGTTAGTGCTATAGCTATAGTATAGTACAGTGCTGTTAAGGTTAGTATTTTATCTTCAGTGACAAAAGAGAAAGGTAGTGTCACAGAGATTCTCCTTCTTTCAGGTTATCCCAGTATATCAGAAAGGATCCCGCTTTCAGCCCACCACAGTGGAGATGGTGGATGGGGAAACGAGCCCTCCAGCGCTCCTCACCGAAGCAGATCTCATTGCTCTCATGGAGAAGCACGGCATAGGTCAGTATTGGCACTATCTCTCTCAAGAGATGAGAAACAAGGATGCTGCTGCTCCTGGCTTTCCTTCTTTTGCCCATTCAGTACCTTGCGTTCTGTAGTAGACACAGGGGAAAAAATCACTTGTTGGCCACTCATTCAACTAAAAACCTGGCTACTTTCAGGGACTGATGCCACTCACGCCGAGCACATCGAGACCATTAAGCTAGTAGTAGACACAGGGGAAAAAATCACTTCTTGGCCACTCATTCAACTGAAAACCTGGCTGCTTTCAGGGACTGATGCCACTCACGCTGAGCACATTGAGACCATTAAGCTGCGGATGTACGTGGGCCTCACTGCGGATCAGAGGTTCCTTCCAGGCCACCTGGGCATGGGGCTGGTTGAAGGTAAGGACTGTGCTTTAAGCGAGAGGACAGGTTTCTTATTCATGCCTTCATTTCATTCACCATGCCGTGTTTTCCTCAGGCTATGACTCCATGGGCTATGAGATGTCCAAGCCTGACCTTCGAGCTGAGCTGGAGGCTGACCTGAAGCTGATCTGTGAGGGGAAGAAAGACAAACTCGTAGTGTTGCAGCAGCAGGTCCAGAAGTACAAGCAAGTCTTCATCGAGGCTGTGGCTAGAGCCAATAAGTGAGTCTTGTCTTTGCCCTCTTGCATTTGCTTTGCTGTTCTGGAAGGTGTGAGCTTCCACAGCTCAGTCTGACATGGAATGTGTTCCCATAACTGTTTCTCTGGAGATCTATCCAACACGTGCAGGTATTTGCAAGGGAAGGGATGACTCTCAGTGTGACATGCAGCTGTGAGCAGGTGCCAGCTGACTGCCCCTCTGCGTTTAAACTCATTGCATTAAATTCAGAGGAGGTCAAAGGAAAGGCAACATGCTCTGACCTTCATGTTGTGCTCGCAGACAGCTTGTACTGGTCATCACGCAGAGCTGAGGTACTTCTGCAGATGGCCAGATCTCCTAGGGAATGAGGACAACAGGCATCAATCCACTGGTTACTTTTTGCAGAGGAGACGCATAGGATGTTGTGCTTGTTTGTATTTAGATTGGATGAAGCCCTGGCTCAGTATTTTGGACAAGGCACGGAAATAGCAGAGCAAGAGGAAGTCTACCCGGCAATGCCTGTTTCCGTTCGGAAGTGCCCACAGTGCAACAACGACATGGTCCTGAAGACCAAGAAGAACGGCGGGTGGGTAGCATCCCCTGCTGCACACAGCAGCTCTCTGTGTGTGTGTGTTGCTGGGCATTACGTACCTTGCAGTAGGGCAAGCTCAAACCAGCTAGACAAACTTGCTGGACTCAGCCAAACCTCTCTCTCCAATACATATTTGCTCATAAAATTGTTTTGACAGTTTCTATAGTGAGCGATAGCAGAGAGAAGAGAGGAGAATGAGTCACTGACTTGACTTTGCCTCCTCCTCCTCACTCAGTCCTTTTACCCTGTGGCAGGTTCTACCTCAGCTGCACGGGCTATCCGACTTGTAAAACTGCAGTCTGGTTTCCTGACTTTGTGCTGGACGTGGCCAGGGATGAGAGTGTCTGCGCTGTGTGCAAACCCCACCCCGTTCACAGGTGAGTTGTACTAGTCACCTGTTAGGCAAACACAAGCACACAGACATTACCTGTTAGTCATCAGGGCCACAGGCTTCTGTGGACCAGGCTGGGCAGCTGGGAGCAGCAATCTCATGGCTAGAGGATGGTTAAAAAAAAAAAAAAAGAGGGAGGAAAACAGTGTAAGTACAGGAGGAGTGAGCAGGGGGGAAAAAAAGCTTAATAGTAATCAAGTCCAAATCAAGCCTGGTTGCTGAGGCGTTACATGAACAGGGAAACTTTTATCTTCCTTTTCTTTTAGATTGAAATTTAAGTTCAAGAGAGGCAGCGTCCCACCCACGATGCCCCTGGAGTTTGTGGGCTGTATCGGAGGCTGTGATGAGATGCTGAAAGAACTCTTGGACCTGAAATACTCACACAGGTCCTCGCAGCCCAACCCTTGCTCAGCCAGCCAGCACGCTAACCGCTCACCCACCAACCACTCCTTTACCAGAGGGCCTGGTGGTGAGAAAAGGCTTGTGAAGAGGACCACAAACCACCGTGACGCGCACCGTGCAGAAGGACGGGCCCAACAAAGGGCGGCAGTTCCACACGTGCCCCAAGCCCAGGGAGCAGCAGTGTGGCTTCTTCCAGTGGGCGGACGAGAACGCGGCGCCAGGTAAGGCCGGGCTTGGAGCGGAGAGCCAGGGTTGGAGGCTCTCCTTAAAGCTAAACAGGTATTTGTCATACACTGTCAAAAAAAACTTGACACTGCATAAGGCTGTCATAGCCTGACAACTCTTCTAACAACGCTTAATTTGTCAAACCTCAGGTTTGTCTTTAAAAAGAGCCTGTGAGCAGCATTATGGCACTTTTTAAATGTTGCTTGTAAGGATCAGGTGTGGCTTACCTTCCCCTGAACACAGCGTTGTTCCACACATCCACAGAGACCTGCACTGCTAGTTGGAGCATCCCTCACTCAGTGGACAGGCTGCTACATTTCCAACAGTCTTTTGGGAGGTTGTCTTCCCAAATTCAGGTGTTCATTTTGATTTGATAGAGGGTTGAAGCGGCACAAATGCTTTTGGAGATCTTAAACCTTGTTCTGTCATGCCAGGAAGGCCATACTTCTCCCGCTGGCCTAGTTTAGGAATGCAGTGAAAATCCAAGTCTTTCTGAAGCTTTGATCATAGCTGAGAAACAGAGCACGGCTCCAGGGAAAAGGTGGTGAAAGCAAGTACTGAAAGGGCTGTTTAATCACAAAATAAGGATCTCAAAGAAAGGGCACCAACACCAAGGTTATAAGCAAAGTACAGAGGTAGAGACGTGATCTGAGAGATCTTTAATCTTGGCTTCTTCCTTTTTAGATGCCAGACCCTAACGGGACAGAATTAAGTTTTCAAAACTAAAAAACAAACAACAAAAACAGAAAAAACAGGTTTCCTTTGGCATATTCTGTTGTTTCTGCTTTGGCTGTGGAGCAGAGCATGCAGCCAGAAAGATGAGTTTCTGAGTTTCCCTATTCTGATCCTCTGATTAGTTAGTATTGCGAGACAAATAGGTAGCATTTAAATGCAGACAAATCTGAAGTAAGTCTAATTTCAAGAACAGTTTGAGTAGCTGGGATGGTCAAATCCTCCATCTACTGCCCTTCTGAACCTAGCTTTTGTTTCTCAACTCCTTTGTCAAAGATTTTTACATCTGCATTTTTTCTCCATAGGAGCTTCGGGAGATTCTTCGAACCGTTTTGGGAGCAGTGGATACTCAAGGGAGTTTGGGAGTAAAGCTAAGAGACCAAGCAATCTCTCCTCAGCAGCCACTGCCAAGAAACCACGGACCTGTAGCATTTGCCACCAGCCTGGCCACACCAGGAAAACTTGTCCTCGAGACCACTGAGCCCCAGACAGACAGCGCTGCGGATTCGGAAAGGTCCAGGGCTGCAAGCTGCTGTGCAGCAATTGCTGCTGGAAAGAACTGAAGTCTGTAAGTCCATCTGCACTGAGCGCTTTCTGGAAAAGTTGGTGGTTGCTGCACACACCTGGACAGCAGGAGTGAGACCAGCTTTGACAGGTAGCTCCATTAATGGTGTCAGTCGTGTGGTTTCAGCTGGTTTCCTACTGAGCTGATCACGATAATCTGAACCTTACAAGGAAGCATTTGGAGGCAGCACTGGATCTGACTGCAGCTCCTGCTGTGGTGGGGGCTTCATGCAGCCTTTCCACGTGAGCAAGAGCCAGTTCTGAGCCACTGGGACACTCACGAGAGCTGCTTAGCTCTTCTCAATCCCTGGCTTTCCACAGAGTGGAATTTTATTACAAGTTGGCCTTCTAATTTGAGGTTATCTGAGCAATGTCCCCCTTTTTTGTCATAGTCCAGTACCTTCCTTACCTTGGTGTCCCCGTCTGAGGGGAGCCAGGTGCAGTCTGGTGCTTGCCTGGAAAGGAAAGCCCAGCCGAAATGCTCAGGAAGAGCCCTCATTTTATACAGCTCCTGATTTTGAAACTAAGTTCTTCCTCAAGCATTGAGGCATGCCTAGATGATGCTGCTGGTTAATGGAAGTTATTTTGGTCAAACTAATAAGATTATTATTAAAAATTATTTTTTATTTTATCTTCGTTACAGTGAATCACTCTTAGCTCTGCCTTGTTACTTCTTCATACTTAAAATAGTTGAGCTATTACTATAAAAGCATCCGCCCAGATCCTGCTCTTTCCATTCACTCACTCACCGGAATAATATAAGAGCTTTCTTGGCAGAAACTCCCTGTGGCTTTATTTAGAAGGAAGCTGCAAAAGGGTAGGGGAGGGTGGGTTATGAGCTGCATCTGTTGTAGTGGTGCTGTCCAGGGCCACACAGACAACTGGCTGAACCCAAAAAGCTGATTTTTTTCCCCTCTTCCTCACTCAGTTTAGGCTGAGCTCCTTCAGGGAGCCACGCTACCACCTCCCTCCCTGTTGGGGCTGCCTTTGTTTCTGTCCTGTGCTGGAGCTCAGCATTTATCTTTGAGCCTCTGCCAAAGGGAACCTGCAGCAACGCTGCATTTTCCTCAGGGCAGGTCCTGCGGGGCAGCTGCAGCACTTCCCAGAGCACTTCCCAGAGCAGCTGCAGCACTTCCCAGAGGGAAGCCTGAGGGAGGGAGATCACAGCAGCCCAGGGGTCTCCCAATCCTGCGTGTGGGACAACAGCAGCCCTTGCTCTGCAGCAGTTCTTCACTATCAAGCCCAGATCTCTGGCATGAGGCCACGAGAACCCCTTCCCCATTTTATGGTACCATCACTCCCACTGTTAACAGCTGTAGCCTAAAAATACAGGCCCGCTGGCTAAAATAACAGGATTAAGGAGCTTTGTAATGCAGTAGAGAGCCGAGTAAAGCACAGCAGAAGCCTGGGCAGCCTCCTAACAGCAGCAGCAAGCCAGCATCCGCACAGCGTGCGGGCAGCCCGTCGAGGACTGATGACAGCAGTGGCTGTTCCCAGATCTCCTGGTTCCAACTCGGAGAGCGGAGCCACTTGAGCCATTGGAGCCCAGAGCAGGCAGCTCCGCAGCCCCTTCGTGCAGCAGTCGGTAACGGGAGGCAAAGGGAGGACCTTGCACACAGGGCCCCGGCGCTGCCGAGCTCCCCGCAGAGCGGGACAGTGCCCAGCGGCTCCGCGCCGTCCTCCAGGCTCCAGCCCTTATCACGACAGCAGAGACAAAACTGAGATTTGACACCAGGGAGCCATTATGCACAGTGCAGGTTTATTCTCAGCGCTAACACTGGAGGAACAAAGCTGGTTTTTCAGACGGGAGGAAAAGCACTGCTGTTTCCTCCTACAAATGAGACAGCCCTAAAGAAAACTAAGCCACAGTATTTGCTCACACTGAAGTCCACAGGATTTCTCCATTGCTACCAGAGTGCAAAATCTGCATAATTCTTCCATTAAACATGATATACTCCTTAGCACTCAGATTAGAGTCAGAACAAAAGTCTATTAGCAGCCACTCAAAAGAAAACAAACACACGCACAGGCAAAACATACCTTCTTAAAAAGCAGCATAAACCAGCTCAGTTCTTGCAAGTCTTCTGCTCAGAGAATCATTTGTATCTTACCCCCCTGCCCCACAGTATGAGGCACCAGGGGAACACGCTGATTTTTAGATAGCAGCAATACACACACTGGAACGGTCACCTGGAAAACTGGAAGGGGTCCAGGCTGGAGAGCAGTGAGGATCTGCCCGGAGACCCTGGGATGAGGGCACGGAGCCCTGCCCGTGCTGCAGCCACGGGGACTGCGGAGCCTCCTCGCAGTCAGCACTCCTCCCCGGCCCCCCTGCTGCAAGCCCCTGTTGTGGGGCTTGCAGCAAGGGTATGTGGGGACAGGGGACTTGAAGCCATGGCACCACAGCCAAAAAAAACCACAACAACAACAAAAAAGGTCTCTTCATTAGGACAGATATTGGCAGAACAAAGGGCTGAGCTCGCCCCTTTTGGCAGCGGGAAGGGTTTCCAAATAAAGTCCCCAGTCCAATTTGCTAAACCTTCGGCTTGGCAGCGTCTCGGCCTGCAGATCAGGAGACAGGGCTCCCGGAGGCGAGCAGGGAGCGCGGCCGAACCCGGCGCTGCCGCAGGGACTCGCT